GGAGGATGAGGGTGAAGAGTACATGTCCAATGCTTTTGGCAGCTTCTTAGCTGCTCAGGGCATTACTAGGAGGCATTCTACCAGGAACAGGCCTCAGCAGAATGGAATGGCTGAGGGCTAATAGGACTGTGGATGAGCATGCCACTGCTATGCTTCATGAAGCCAACCTTCCTCCCTCCTTCAAGGGTCTTGCTGTTGCTGCCTACATCCATGTTGGCAACATGTGCCCCAATGCCCATCTCCCTAAGGACACCACTCCTCATGAGCTCTGGCATGGCTCCAAGCCCAAGCCAGATGTATCTCACCTTAGGGTCTGGGGTGTCTTTGTTGGATATCCCACAGAGTACAAGGGCTGGCAGTTCTATAATCCTGTGACTAGGAAGATGGTGGTCTCTGAGAGAGCTGTATTTGATGAGAGATACTTTCCTGGGCATTCCCCTACTAGGATGAGGTCATGTCCTGACACTCCTCCCTCCTCATTGTATGACCTTCCTTCTTCTGTGGTCAGGTCTTCTGCTCCTCCTCCTCCTTCAGCTGTGCCTCATTCAGGGGGAGCTGGGGGGGATGATGAGGATGATGATGACTCTCCTTCTTCTGGACCTTCTCCTGGACCCACTTCTGACTCTTCTCAACCATCTTCCCCTTCTCCTTCTCCTGGACCTTCCTCTTCTCCTCCTCCTGTTGCCTCTCCCATTGGTGTTGCTGCCAGAAGGAGATTCCATGGCCAGTCTACCCAGCACAATCCTCCTTCTGAGTGGTGGAAAGCTAGAGAGCCTACTCCTGCCATCTCTGACAGTGATGATGAGGAGTTCTCTGACTCTGAATCTGACTCTGACGCTGACTCCCCTGCTGAGGATCCCTCCTCCAGTGAGGATGAGTTGGATGTGCTTAGGCCTTCTCATACCAGTCTTGCCTCTTCCCACTCTGGCTATTCCTAGAACCTTCAAGGAGGCTATTGCCAAGGAGGATGGAGAGTATTGGAGAGAGGCTGCCTTGGAAGAGTTGCAGAGTCTGATGGAGAATGGCACTTGGGAAGTGGTGGATGCTCCTCCTGGCTGCAAGGCTCTCAGGTCTCAGTAGGTGTTTACTATCAAGCACAACTCTGATGGCACTGTGGAGAGATACAAGGCCAGGCTAGTTGCTGATGGTAGAGGACAGAGGATGGGCATTGACTATACTGAGGTCTTCTCTCCTACCTTCAAGCCTGCCACTCTCAGAGTCATCCTTGCTCTGGCAGCTGACTATACTGAGGTCTTCTCTCCTACCTTCAAGCCTGCCACTCTCAGAGTCATCCTTGCTCTGGCAGCCCATCATGATCTCCATCTCAGGTCTATTGACTTTTTCTCTGCCTATCTCAATGGTGACTTGGAGGAAGAGGTCTACATCACCCAGCCAGAAGGTTTCCCCCAAGGCTCTCCCACTCAGGTCCTCAGGCTCAAGAAGTCCCTCTATGGTCTCAAGCAGGCTGGCAGGCAGTGGAACAAGAAGCTGTTCTCTCAGCTGGAGTCTATGGGTTTCAAGGCTTGTGAGTCTGACAAGAGCTGCTATATCTACTCCAGAGGCTCTGTCCAGATCATTCTCCCCATCTATGTGGATGATGCCACCCTTGTCTCTGACTCCCAGCCTGACATTGACCAGGCCATTCTTGAGTTGGGCAAGGTGTTCAAGCTCAGAGACCTTGGTGCTTCTGAGTGGCTTCTCAAGCTGAAGATTGAGAGGGATTGGGCTGCTCATCAGATCTCCATCTCCCAAGGCCAGTATGCCAGGGACATGTTGGAGGCCTTTGGCATGGCTGACTGCAAGCCTGTATCCACTCCTATGAACCCTGGCATCACTCTCACCAAGTCCATGGGTCCTTCTCCCAATGCTCCTGAGGACAGGAAGTTCAGATCCACCTATCTCTCTGCTGTTGGCTCCCTCCTCTATCTCTCCACTATGACCAGGCCTGATATTGCTTATGCTGTGGGTGTCTTAGCCAGGTTCAACTCCAATCCTGGTCAGCAACACTGGACTGCTGTCAAGCATCTCTTCAGGTACATCAAGGGCACTCTGGACTACAAGCTCACCTTTGGCCCCATCTCCCCCTCTGCTCCTCTGTTCACCACTTATTCTGATGCTGACTATGGAGGATGCAAGAACTCTGGGAAGAGCACTGGTGGCTATATTGTGATGATGGGTGGTGCTGCTGTGTCTTGGAGGAGCAAGATCCAGCCTACCATCTCACAGTCCACTACTGAGGCTGAGTTTGTTGCTGCTGGTGAGGCTGGGAAGGAGTTGAAGTGGATGAGGAACTTGCTGAAGGAGCTTGGCTATGGTGTCACTGGATCCTCTCTTCTCTGCCTGGACAACCAGTCTGCTATTCAAGTCTGCAAGAATCCCCAACATCATGGAAGGATGAAGCATCTGGACCTCAAGTACTTCTGACTTAGGGATCAGGTGGTAAAGAAGGTGGTGGAGGTGACTTATGTGCCTACTGGAGATCAGCTGGCTGACATTCTGACCAAGCCTTTGGGAAAGGTGTTGGTGCAGAAGTTTGTTGGGTTGTTAGGGTTGAGGGTGTGAGATGGATGTGATCAAGGGGGAGTGTTGATTGTGGTCATGTGACCTAGGTGTGATCCCATCATCTATTATTGTACTTATCATTTCCTGTTGATTTGGTGTTTGTTTGTGTCATGTGATGTCACATGACTGTGGGAAAGTGGACAGCCACAGCCCCAAGAGTATATAAGGAGCATGGGACAGAGAGTGGATTTCCCACTTCTCTCTGTCTTGTGCTCAGGTCTGTTACTTACCTAATACTTTCCTTTATTACTTAATCTGACTTCTCTCTGTCTTGTGCTCAGCACACTCCTTTCATTCTACAGAAATATGTACAGATGTTCACTTTTAATCTGGTGGAATGACTGGAATCTTGGAATAAAGGTTTCTCCACCATTCTTTGACCTTCTGAGACATTCTGGGGGTGATCCCCTACTCATATACGAAGTACCAAGCCATAGGACATAGCTGTGGCATGTATAAATAGCTCAAATTGTTGAGATTGACCAAAGAACAGGCCAAATAACCAACTAATTGCCTAGAACTGACTAGAAAATCAATGGTACACTTGAAACAAAAGCTCTGCTTGCTTCCTAGTATGTTTCTATGTATTCCACACATCTATAGGATGTGTTGTACAGCCCTATGAATGCCATTCAATACAGAACATAGTGTGTTTTCTATGGTTTAGCCCAAACTTCCGGTTTTAGTCTTCCTAGGAAGAGCTCCTACTGTAAGGACAGGCTTTCCCACACATACAACAATGCTGTCACACGTCATCTATTAATAGCTAATGCTTTTGCAGCCCTTGGAATCCCATTTCCGATAATCTTTCTCAACTATAGGTGATTTCTATGGTTATGACTCTTTGTCTATGCAGGTATTTTGTGCTCAGTCTGTTATCCCACAGCTGTATTGAAGAGGAAAGCGTCTTAGAAGGTTCTAATGATACTAGTAACTGATCCTCAGACCTCTGCTGCACACAGGCATAGTCACAGTTATAGAACTATCACAAATATGTTGTTTGGTAGATAGAGAGGGCTGCAGTCCCATAAATAGACCTTTACAGTTGATTAGCCCTCTGCCTATAGTGCCCTTAAGCTGTAGTATCATGCATATTGACCAGATATGTCTATAGAGATGTCCACTAATGTACTAAAAAGCAGTTTTTGTGACCCTTGACTGTCATATGTTGTATTAGCAGAGAGTACAAATCCAACAGTTGTCAATCTTAGAATCTACTACATGGTTGATTTCAAAGTGCTTGTCACCATTGATGATGTCTGGTGGAGGAATCAGAACAGCATGGGAAGGGAATGGGTTAGGTGTGTGTAGCTCAAGTTGGGAAACATGAACAACTGGGTGGACACCTTTGAGAGTTGGAGGTAAGCAGACAGCATAGGGATTCTGACTAGGGTGATCAACAACTTCAAAGGGGTCAGCCTGCTAGATGTGACTGGCCATAAGGAAGTCTGCATCCATAAAATGGTATGAGGACTCAGAGGGAGGAGGCAACAGCAAATTCATGCAAGACTTCTTGACCTGTGTTGTTTTAGCTTCTCTGTCAGCCTTGCATTTAGCTCCAGCAGTTGCACCTGCACCCTTGAAGCTCTTGACAAAGGAGCATCTGTGACCCTGCTTACCACACCAGATGCAGGCACAGAGGTTGTGACTGACAGGGACTTCACAGACCCGCAGAGCCAGATTCTTGGTGCTCTTCACCTGGCAACATTTGCAACAAGCTATGCCAGTGTAAGAGATTACCTCAGTCAAGGCTTCAGGGGTTGCATAGCTGCCATTGTTGCTGTCTAACTTGATTGCAGGAGGATCTTCAACCTAATAAAATAACAACAGTTAGTTCAAGAGAAGACTTGTGATGCTGCCACACATCTGTTTTGATTTACCCTTTTTCTCCTTCTTCTTTTTCTTCTTCTCCTCCTCCTATGCCAAATGTGCACACTCCTCTTCTGCACACTCCAACTCCAACTCCAGCTGCTGCTGCTTCTCCTCCTTCTTTCAGTGTATCAACTCAGCAAGAGTGGCCATTTGAGTGGCAATCTCATTGTCAATGGTGCTGGTAGTGGCCTGAGGAGTAGGTTGTTTATGGAAAGAGCTCATGGTGGTTCAAGTTCAAAGATGCATTAAGCTTTATGCCACAAGGCTAAATTTTTATAGTGTATCAAACGCAGAACGAAGACTTGTCATTTTGCCTTGAGGGTCTCAGCTCTAAGAGGGGGATACTGTTACAAGTATGCATCTGCATTTTTGTTAGTAAGCGCATCTGCATCTGCACCAGCATTCCACCCAGCCAAATTCATCCTCCAGCCCAATCAAGTTGACTCACCATTTCCATGTGTGTGTGCACAGCTTAGCGTTGCTTGCTAAACCTTTACCATTCATACTTACATTTTACTTACAATTCTTCTTGTTGTTGTAGGACATTTGGTTCCCTTCACACAACTGGTCAGGTAGCTCAGTGGTAAGAGCATCAGTGATCAATGCTGAGGTCCCAGGTTCAAATCCTGGCCTAGCCATTATTTTCAATACTTCTATGCAATTCACTCATTGCCACAGTACTTACTAACTTTTGGTTACTTGTCTCCATAAAACAATTAGTATTTAAGCCACTATGTACATATCATGTTCTTTAGTCTGAAATCAAACTTGACTTACCTTTCCTCATGTATGACTTGGACTCAGCCAGGTGCTTTATGAAAAGAGTTGCCTACATTTCTACCATCTGCTCTTCTGCCCTTCCTTGTGCATGATCATAACAGGCCCATAGGACATTCTATATATACATTGGAGCTACTATATAGTTGACATTTCATTGCCACATGTATTTCTCTGGTATGGTTCTTGTCTATCATGACAGTTCTCTTTGCTCTCTTCTTTCCTTCCCTTCTGACATTCTCTGGTCTTGTGAGAGGTTGGACAACTGTCCACCTGACACACCCCTTACTCAGCATCACACCATCCTTGCTCATTCTTGACTCATTCTTTGCTCATTACAACTCATACACCCTTGTGACTCAGACCAGGACTTTACATATAAACAGCACCCTTCCTGTCCTGATCCCTATCTTGGCCTCTTTTGTTGCCCTTGACTGGGGATTAGTGCTCTTGTTTGAGTTTTGGCAGAGCTGTTGCCTTAGTTTGCCACAGTCAGCAAATATAAGAAAGCTGAGAGGCAAAAGAAAGAGGGAAGATGCAATGGAAAGAGCAATTTCTAACACAATGATTGACAATGACCTGGATTGTTGGAACAACCCTAGATCCATCATATAACCCTGTGACTACAATGTGACTGATCACCTGATGAGTCCCAGTGATAAGCAAAAGAAAGACAAAAGAAAAGGAAATAATTGAGAATGGCTCTGAGTGTTATAACTGTGCAAGATAGTGAGGTAGAAGGAGGTAGATCGAGCTAGCTATTGAAGGTATACAGTGGCAATGTCCAGAGGGAAACTCATAACACAACTAACACAAACACCTACCTGGGTGTTGATAGTTCACAAGAGTGTTTGTGGTGGTAAGAGTAAAAGCAACTGTTATTGAGTATGGAGGAGAGGAGCTCCTTATATAGTTGTAAGATAGTGACGTGACGACATAATAATACATGTGAGTCCAAGTGTGACGACACTGAAATGAGTCATGGAAACAAGTCATGAATAGCACAGCCTCGGTGAGTCTGGAATTCATTCAACACTCCTCCTCGCAAAGTACAAGGGGTATATTGTGCTAGGCGTACTGAGAAAATTTAACTGCTGTGAAGATCAAGGAGAGGGATACAGCATGCTTCAACCAATCAAGTAAAGGATGGACGTCGAGTGCTTATCTGTTAAGCTTATGTTTCGAATGTAAGCCCCAACTGACTTCTAAAGCGGTTGAATTTGATGTGACCCAGACTCTTGGTCAAAAGATCAGCAGGGTTGTCATTGCCAGAGACAAAGAAAAGCTCAACTTTCTCCTCCTCAAGTAAGTCACAGATGTAATGATATTTAATATCAATGTGTTTTGTCTGTTTCTCTGTGAGGGGATTAGAGGCTAAGAATATCAAACCCTGGTTGTCACCATAAACTGGTAATGGACCCATCTTGATGCTGAGTTCTGAGAATAGGAAGCGAAGCCATGCAGCCTGGCATCCACAATCAGAGAGTGCCATGTATTCAGCCTCAGTCGAAGATTGTGCAACAGTTTTTTGCATCCTCAATGTCCAGTGGATTGCTCCATCTGCCAGTGTACCAAAAAATCCAGTAGTGGAACAACGCTTAATGGGATCTGAGCCCCAATTGGAATCGGTATAGTGAATGAGTCCTGCTCTGCCAGCTCCATTATACGTCAGGGTATAATCCTTAGTACCAACAAGGTATCGGCCAATATGTTTGACATGATCCATGTGGTCTTGGGATGGGTTTGACAAGAACTGTGCCATCTTGGTGACAGCATAACAGATGTCAGGTCGAGTGCCGATCATAAGATACAGCAATGATCTGATAGCGCATTGGTATTCCTGCCTAAATTGGTCAGTGGCAGTACCAGTGTTGGCCAAAGGCTTATAGCCCTCAGGCAACAGCATTTTGACAACTTTGGCATTGGTCAGACCAAGTTGATCAATCACTTTGAGGAGATATTCCTGCTGATCAATGGATATGACATTGTCTATAGACTGAATGCGCAATGCCAGGAAGGTAATCAGGTAAGGACCTGAATCCCTACATTCCCAGTGTGCCACAACTTCAGCTTTTTTCTTTCGAACAAGGTGCTGATTAGGCCCACAAAACACCAAATCATCAACATAGACGATGAGAATAACAAAGTCTTTGCCAATCCACCAAATAAAGATGCCGGCATCAGACTTCGTGTGCTTAAAGCCAAACTTCTTTAGCGACTTGGACAGAGCTTTCCACCAAGCATTGGAAGCCTGTTTAAGGCCATATAGAGCCTTCTTGAGACATAGAACTTTATGTTCTTTGCCTTGAATGACAAAACCTTCAGGTTGTTTCATAAAGATCTTCTCAGTCAGCTCGCCATATAGGAAAGCAGTGACAACATCAAGCCCTTCAAAGTGCCACCCTTGTAGGAAGCCTAAGGCTAACATTATCCTAACCGTCTCAAATCAGATGACAGGAGAGAATATCTCATTATAGTCAATTCCCTCTATTTCAAGGAAACCTTTGACAACAAGTCAAGCTCGTCGTCAACCATCTGGTTTAACAAGAAACACCCATCTATTAGATAGTGGGCAATATCCCTGTAGGTAGATCAACGACTTCAATGATGTCATGCTTGATCAGAGCATTGATCTCCTCCTGACAAGCTGATCTCCACTGTTTCTGAGCTTCTTCTGAAAGCTTCAGAATGTCGCGATAGTGTTGAGGTGCAGTTTCAACTGTTCCATCAGAAGAATGGATTGGTATCGCTTGGGCTAGCATGAAAGCTATGAACTCCTCTCCTCCTTCCCGAATTAACCGGTTCAGGTGCGCTTGGGGATCTACTGATGCGTCAGGGTCTGCAGTGGAGCTAGAACCACCTTGTTTCGGGAACAGGTTCATTATCACTGGCAGGGGCACGATCATTTCTAGGATTGTGCGATGACCCAATCTGCCTATCCCAATCTGCATCTGACTGCATTACATCTTGCGCTGAGATCAGATGGGGTTTCGCAATTCCCCGTAGACATTCCCTTCGCATCTAGGAGCTTTGGTAGTCCTTTTGGGACGAGCGGCGGCGATCGACTCCTAAATCAGAATCGGGCCAGGGTGAAGGCTGTCTCCTGGCTTTAGGTGACGTGGGGACCTTAGTCTTAGGTGCCCTCCTTGCCTTTTGTGGTGCTGCAGGAACAACAGGTTCCTGATCAGCGTCGTCCCTAGGAGGAGTGGTATAACCACTACCAGAGGCAGCTGGTGCTCTTTGTTTACCTTTTCCCTGATCAGGGGGAGGTTGAACACGCTGCTGTCTCCTAGAGGGAGGGAGAGGTAGGATAGGAAAGTCGGCATCAGAATCACTATCATCCGAAGATGAAGATGATGATGAGTCTCTCGGCAGAGGACGAGGGACTGACTTCTTTCTTCCTGACACCTCAGAGTTGGTGGGATCTTCACCAATTTGTGGAACAAAACGACGTTTCTGGCTGTCAGGGCAACGTGGATAGTACGTTTCGTCGAAGGTAGCAGTAGTAGCCAGAAAAATTCAATTAGTGGACCACATAAACATATAGCCTTTGGTGCCATCCTTGAACCCAATGAAAGTCATCATTTCAGACTTTGGGGCAAGTTTGTTTGCCCTTCGATTAGAAGGTATGTAAGCATAGGCGCCATAGCCGAATACACATAAATGTCCAACATCAGGTACTACACCAAACATCCTTTCATAAGGAGTTTTCCAGGTAGATTTAGTCCCTTTCAAAAAACTGGACTTCTTTGGAGTGCGATTATAGATATGGACTGCATACTCCACTGCAAATTCCCAATAGGATTCAGGAATGCAGGCTTCAAGCCTCATGGCTTGGGCTTTGTCCATCACTGTTCGGACAAATCTCTCAGTGCGTCCATTCTGCTGATGCATTTCGGGGACACTCATCAAGACTTTGATTCCCTCAGATTTGAAGAAATCCAACAGATCATCAGAAATAAATTCTCCCCCAACGTCAAATTGCCATTTCTGGACTTGAGCGTTGTGCTGTCGCTTGATCAAAGCCACATGTTCTTTGATGGCTTGAGCAGCACCGGACTTCTTTTTCAAGTTATATGTCCAAGCATGGGAGGAACAATCATCCAAAATAAGCATGAAATACTCATATTTATGGTATGATGTCTTCATCTGTTTGAGATCCGAATGGAATTTCTCAAATGGCTTTGATGCCCGATTGTCTGATCTAGGGAATGGCTTCAATGGCATTTTCCCTTCAGCACAACCTCGGCAAACAGGAGCCTTCTCAGGGATACTAAGATCCCGAGGGAAAGAACGGAGGTTTCTTTTGCCAGCCCGCAAAACTTCTTTCGACAGATGTGCAAGACGTTTATGCCAGGTGTCAAAATCAGTGTTAAAAACAACTGAATAAGATTGAATCTCGGAGATCTGAGACTCACACCAGTAGATGGTATCATGTTTGTCATGTGGTTCGCAAGTCATCATAACTTTTGAACCTTTGTGGAAGGTCAAGCAATGTGCATTCCCAGAAATGGAATGTCCGTCGCGAAGCAATTGACTGGTAGACAATAGGCGAATGGAAAGTGAGGGCATGTATAGGACAGGGTATAGACGTGAAGTCCTCTTTTCCCTAGTCCCATTGGTAAGCAATACCTCATGATCAATAAAAACAGTGCCACGTCCTTCAACCGAAGCTGAACCGTTCGCTGTCTGAGAAGTTCCTAAATCAATAGGCTCATACTCGGCAAAATCGGATAGATCGTTGGTAAAATGTGCCGAAGCACCACTGTCTTGGATCCATAGGACAGAATTGCCCTTAGTCTTACATCTCACACAAGTTGTAATATGATTGTTGATATTATTAAGCATATTACTGCTAGGT